TACTGGAAAAATTATATTGCACCCTTATCTACAATTAATTTCAGATTTTAAAGTAATAAGTTAGACTGAAGGTCCATAGCATGTTGCTTGTTGTTTGTTTGTTTATTTGTTTCAGAAAGTGTCTTACTCTCTCTGCAAAAACCAAGGGGAACTGCTGAATGTTTTGTACCACCAGATGAGGGAGACTGAGTTAATTGTTTTTGATCTCTGCAGGAAACTGGAGTATATGGTCCTTCTGATTTTAAAACTAACAGTTACGTTGCCTAACCTTAGATCTGAAGCATAAAATAACAAAAGAAGGGAAACAATGTCAGGTTCCAAATGGGAATAAATACTGTCAAAGAAAATTTTGAGGGGTAAGCAGATTCAAGGGCAAGTGGGAATGGCTTTTCATATTGAAAAAGTACTCAGGAATTCCATTTCTCAGGAATTGTCTTATTTTTAACCAGTTTCAGCCCTATGCAGAAAAACTTCAGCAACCTTGGAGTTTGTTTGCCATTCCCAGAATCCAGAGTGCCATGTACTCCATGGAAGAGTGCGGAAAAGTATCAGATTAAATCTGCTTTTCCTGGTTGGTAATTATCTCGAGTGGAATGTTAAGAAGCTTTGTGACTCTTGGGTAACAGAGCTTGTTTATCTTGGAGTTTGTTTGATCTCTGCCAAGCTCCTCCTGCTCTTTGCTCTCCAGTGACAGCTGCAAGCACAGGTTCTTCTGGGTCATTCAGCCATTTTATGAAGCCAAATGTGTTCATTTCTCAGCACTCTGTGCAGGGCTGTAGGGATGAGTCATGAAACAAAAACTTGATAAACTGAAGACCCAGCAATTATGTTTTCCAAGCCTGAAAGGGAAACATCTGAATTCTTTTCTATCCACTTTTCTAAGACCCAAAGTAAAGACAATAAAATGAAGACCACCTCAAGCTCACCTCAAAAAAAACCACAAAAAAAAAAACCAAAAAAAAAAAAAACCAAAAACAATGTTTAGTGCTTTGTTGTCATTTGATTGTAATAATGATCTCTGGAAGTCACCTGTTCTGGGACCTGGAATATCTTTAGTCTGGGAATAGTTGGCTTCACAATAACTGCTGTATGAAATGAGTTCAGGACCTGTTTGTTATGCTTACCTACGAGTCCTGTCAGCTCCATTTTGATTTCCTCCCAGTTATTGCTGGGAGCCCACAAGTGGTTTCTGCATCTCTTTTGTTCAGAAAGTTTCTAAAGTCAGCACTTTATTTCTTTGAAGATAAAGTGGCAGCATGGCAAAGAAGTTTTACACTTGTAAGCAAACTGTTTTTTATAAAAAAACAACAATATTTTGTTTCATTGATGTACACACTGTGATAAAGGCTCATTTAGCCATGCTGGAACATAGCTTGCTAGAAACATTCGTAAAGGCTGTTTAGCTCTATTAACAGTTGCCGTGAGTGCTCACTTTTTTTATTTTAACCACATGTTCATGAGAAGGCCATTTTCTGCTGATGTCATGAAAAGTCTAGTGTCTCATGCAAGAATGGCAAAGAAAGACTAACATAATGCAACAGAATGACGCCCCTTATTCTGCACTGTTCTGAGATGTAAGCTAATGTGTTTTCTTTTTTTATGGAATATTTTTAAAGAGGCATGTTGGGATTTCAGTGAGTTTTTTGTTTGCTTATTACTGCACCACCAGATCTTAGCGTACAGTGGGAATTGCAAGTTCAAAAGTAAAAAATTACCTTGTGGCAGAGATGGCAATTAATTTTCATTTTCTTTAGGGAAAAAAAAAATGCTGTGGAATTCTTCTAAGTGGCTGCAAAGCTATTATAAAAAAAAAAAAAAAAAAAAAAACACAAACAAAAAAAAGTTAAAGTACTGTTTGCATCTATGGATGGCGGGGGGATATGTGTGCAAGTGTACCACACAGGCCTAACATAATATGCAACTAACTTAACACCAGATCTGACACCAAAGAAATCAGCAAAAGCAATACAATAAAATCTTCCCTGCACTTTTGTTCGTTCTGGATGAAGTTATGTCTGCTGTGGCTTTAGTTCAAAGTAGAAGCAATAATGTCCATAATTAATATTTAGTACTGAAAGGGAAGTAAAAATGTGCCCCCCATCACCAGAACTGAAGAATCATAGTCACAATTGGGTATTAAAGCATTTGCAGCAGGAAACCTATGTTTTTAGTGATTTTTTTCCTGAAGCAAAAAATGAGTTAACCGGGTGAAATTTCAAGTTATACGTTAAAAATAAACACCTGGCAGAGTACTGCTACATCTGGAGCACACAACAGTATTTAAATTACATTTGGCTTGTCTCTGTGTGTTTCCCAGATGCTAGGGCACAGAGAAGAATAATTAAAAGCAGTAGGTTACCATGGTATTCAGTATACTGCTATTGAAGAATTTGTGTTTGTGATTTGAATGAAAATCATCTGGGAAGTCATGGTTTTGGTGCAGGAAGATGACGTTTATGAGTGACAATGAATTTATGAAAGCCATGCTCTGGGGCAAGAAGCAAAGATTTCAGAGCAGTGAAAAGCTATAGGAATCACAGTGTAGTTAAATTAGAAGGGTACTTAAAGAAGAATAAAGTCCATCTTGCTTAAGAAGAAATATAAAATGCAAACATTAATTTATCAACTATTATCAACTATTGAAAGCTAAGGCCCTGATAAAGAAGAAAATGCAAGCAAAATAATGTTGGGTACTGACAAAAAATATGAAGAATGGAGAAAACTGTGGTAGTTGGGCTGCTTTTCCGGTGATCTGAGCTCAGGTCTCAGTTCATCTACAACTGGGTTGATTTCCAGATTGCATAGGATGCATTGGAGGGGCTGCCATTTACTTCCCACCTCAAGAGAGGACTCAGCAGACTCCTGTAATGTGCCTGCAACTTTGGATTTGAACACACAAAAGCATACAGTGACATGACAGCTGAATATCCCTTTCCCTACAGACAACTATTTGCAACCACATTCTGAGAAAAAAAGAAGAAAAAAAAAAAAGGGAGAAAAAAAATAACGCCTTTTCAACTTTGAAAAAGGCCTGTAGTGAGCTTATGGCAATCTTGATGTGAATGCCAGGAGCTGTAAGGAAATTGGAAGATTTTCAGCACTGCCAATATGGTCCAAATAGATAAGGGTAATCTGTGTTTGATTAATGTCTACAAATTCCAGATGAGCATTTTTCTGAGTTTACCAGGATTTCATTCAGTGTTTCATTATTTTTCATCTTCATCTGAAAAAAAAGGTCCATTTTGTCTGTATCTAGTAATCACTTTATCTTTCTTCTGTTCTTTCTTGTGCAAACTCCCTAAACGTTCAGATGTTATGAGTCAGGATGGGCACTTCCCGAGATATCGGAAAGCAAGCACTGATTTCAAGGGTGAGTTGAGTTCTTTGTATTTGTCTCAATTTCTGAAGTTGCATGACGCAGTCATCATATGTGTTCTTGCTTTCTTTTTATAGCTTGGCAAGTAACAAACTTTTGTTTTAAATTCATATGAAAACTGTGACTGTCATGTATGCTCCTGTCTCCAGGGGCTGAAGTTTAAAGAATGAAACCAAACGGGTAAGACAGGACCTTGGGTTTCAACCCTGTGATGTGAAAGATCACTAGAAGCAGAAATTGTGACAATAAAATGGGTGTCTGTATTTAACCAGAATACTTATGTAATAATACCTAATGAAGTCACCTCATTTGAGTTAATTTGCAGGGTAATTCAAGTATAGGCACTCTGCATTATGCAAGGCTAAAACTTTTCCTCCATGGGTAATGTGACATCCCCTGACAGGGGACCAACCACACAAAGAAGATGGGAATGGATTTTTTTACCTCAGCCTCCCCTTCACAGCTTGCCGACAAAACTCAGCTCAGCAGCTGCAGAGAAGGAAATGGCAGCTGTGGATCTTTTCGCTATTCAAGGTAATGCAGTCACATGCTGCTTCTCACTCCAGGTCACAGCAGAGCCAACAGTGAGTTGCCTTGCATTTTCTTCTGCAGCTTGATTTTGAAATGCTCCAGGCTCCTTATGGTACCATCTGAGCTTCAGAGTTGTCTTAATGTAAAGAGTAAACACTGAAGGATACATCCTGACATTTTTCTTTTACTTTGCACACCCTCTCATTGGTTTTAGTGGAGAGAGAATGGGTATATCAGGAGCTGGTAATCATTTGGTTTATTTTCAAAATGATCATAAATAAATTTTGGTTATGGTTACACCAGACTGGCAGTGTTTTTTCCTCTATGCACTTTTCTTTTTCAGGAAGTAATTGTAGAGTTTAATTGCAGTATAGAGCGGTTGTGAAAATGCTACGCTTTAACTCTTTTCATATGTTTACTTATGAATTTTCTCCTGAATATTTATGATTGTTGCTTAGCATATTCCTTCAGAAACAGTATCTGTCTCCCCTGACAGCAACATTGCAAATCTATAATACATTAAATATCAATTATCTTTTCTTATAGTGCATCTGTATGGATTTCATGCAAACTGTGGTAAAAGATTTGGCCATACCCCAGGATCCCATGTTTAGAGTCCTGGTACTGGAAGCCATTGCTCATACGAAAAATCCTTAGTCAGATTTTTGTGTCAACATTCTCAAATATGTTCATTAGACATTCTCAACTCAAGGGAGTTACTCAAAGTCAGGAATAAATATTGAGCAAAAGAGTGTTTAGCTCTGTAGAAACAAGTAAAAATGCAGACAACTGAAACCAAAATAAATACACCTCAATTTTAGTACCTTTAAAATTGAGAACTAATTTTATAGTAGTTCCTTAAGTCTACGTGAGCTATAATGTAAATAGCCTTAAAACTCAAAGTACTTCAAATTGACCAGACAGAATTTTAATCCAGCAAAGCAATTTATAACCATGCTCAAATAAAGGAAAGTACACAAAATAATCAATTTACAGTAATGGAGACCAAAGCAAAAAGAGAGATTGTGAACAACAGATGAATATTCACATGAAAAGCTACTCCTCTTTCATTTAAAAGAAGCCAACCAATATTTCTAAATAACTTTTTCATAGCGATATACATTTTGCAATTAAATTTTCAAGTAAGTTTACATGGGAATAAGATCCCAAATTAGGTAGGGCATCACAATGCCCAGTAAGGCACGATTTATTTGCTGGTATTCACTGACGGAACATTATATTCTATAAATTCACACTAAAAATGTAATTGCTAGTGATATGAAGATTTATGCAATTGTATAAGGATTTCAAGTATGCAAAGACTGAAAGCTGTAGAGGAGTTTTATGCCAGGTGGTAAATTTCTGATGATTCAAAGATCAAAATCTGGTAATGCATGTGTCGTTGCACATTTTGTGAGCATTATTCTTGTCTCATTACATGGCCACTTCAATGGAGTCTTCTATTCACCCCATATCCTTGTGTTCCACCTTGCCCAGTGGATATCAGCTCTGTATGAAAATATTTCATGTGATTTCCACTCAAGTTCAGGCACATTAAAAGATAGGGATGTACATAAAAAATTCCCTCATCAAGCCAGGCCATGGTGAGCACTGGAGGTGTTCCCAACCTTGGGCTCTATTACACATGCTTCCTATTGCAAACTGGAATTTTACAATCGTTATGATTTACACAGTTATTTGAAAGTAACATGTGAAGTCAGCTTCTGTTGGAAGTGCCTCTTGAAAAGCAGAGTGCTCAGTGCTGAAACAGAAGCAGCTGGATTATCTTTGCACCACTAAAGGGTGTCATCTGGACTGATCAGCATGAGGAAATTTGCACCTGTCATGCGTACTTCATTCTGACATCGAGAAAAATGGTTCCAGTTAGTGAAGGCTTCCATGAGTGATACTAAACGAAACAAAACATAATAAAGATTATCAGTTGTAAAACCTGTTCTTATTCTTCTCCAAGACCACAGCACATATCATATTCATAAAACCAGACACTTAAGCAACTCCTTTTTATTCCTGTAAATAGAGAAAGCATGAGGTAGTTCTTTCTGCCACTTGGCCAACCATCCTTGGAAATGGCTATTACACACTGGGAGAAGAGACTTCTCAAAGCACTATAGAGACAGGAGTTTGGAGAGAAAAGAGTTTCTAAAGTCATGGGGGTCACTGGTTTGTTGGCTCATAGCCTGTATCTGATAGTTGTTTTTGAAAACTTCCTTCTGTCAATATTCACTTTTTGTTCTGGTTTTGCTGCAGCATTGTTGGAAAGCGGTGCTATGTAATCTATGGCCAAGACATTAAAACAGACATTGTTTTGTATGTCAGGACAGCGGGCCTCATCTGTGTCAAAGATTGACTAAGATAAATGTCAGGAAGGAAAGAAGGGTACAGAAATTTTCACCTTTCGATAATTAAAAGGTTTTGTTCTTAAGAAGCAGGCAAAATTCCAGCAATCTTCTCTTTCTCTTACCACTGATATGCACTGTCTCTTTCTCTGCATGTGGATGGCTTAACCAGGAACCATAAGGTTCTGGTTCTGGTTCATAAAGTGCTGCCATGATCCCACAGCCAGAAAATTGGGAAAGATTAAAGTTACCTTTAGTATGTTCAAGAAGGCCATTTTTTGCACTTGCTAAACAAACAAATAAACAAGCAAACAAAGAAGATACATTATCAAAATATTATTCAAATATTTTCTTAAAGAGAATGAATGTTGGAGGGATGCCTGGAACTGGCTGCAGTAACTTGCTCTTTTACAGCCTCTCCTATTTTTTCTTTTTCCTGAGGATATCCCTGCAAGGTTAGATGGACTTTTTTTCCTTCCTAAAGTAGGACTCACTTGCAACTGAGGAGCATCAAGCAGGGGGTAGTGTCTTAAGTCCTGCAGGTCATCAGAGTCCAAATTGAAGCAGTGCTGCTATGGCAGTGTGAGCCACTTCTCCGCCATGATCTCGCCACATTGCTTTTTCTCTTGAGCTGCTCTGCTAGCCACTACAGCTTCCCTTGGATTTGGTGTTGAATCAGGTCCCCAGCCAGGTGACACACAGTATTTAGTTATATATTATCTATTTACATGTGCAGATCACTCTAAAGCAGACTTCCATTTCTTAGCCCCCAGCTAACTCTTAATTTTAGAACAATTTTCTCCTTCCATTAAAAGGAAAATTGAAAGCAAAGACTTTCACTCTCTGAGCTCTATCTTGTTCATCACAAAGTTGACATCTGTTCCATGAGATGTGGTGGGAAAAGGCTCACTTAAACATTGTCATGTAAGCCAGATTTTCATTTCCATTACTGCTGCAAACCATTACCATTTTTTCACTTTGTGGAATGCCCTTTCCATTTATTTTTAACAGAATTTTTCCCATACACAGTAAAGCAACATATGTAAAATGTTCGGGCCTGTCTCCTAGCCCTTTCTACTTATTTCCTCTTCTTTCCGCTGGATTCCTATAGGGTACTTTGCTGCTTTTTCTAATCTTTTCAGAATTTGTTTTCCTTTTTCTTTTGGACAGATAATTTCTCTACCAGGTGCTGGGGACCAGATTTTAATGTCCAGTATACAGTATATATGCAATATACAAACTGATGAGGCCTTAATAAGAAGTTTTCTATCCTCTTTCCTCTCTTCTGTCCCAAAATCCAGATCTTGGAAAATCAGAGACTCAGTCCGGTGAAGAGAAAGGAAGCAAAGGAGGGGCAAGTGGTCATGCCTGAGTATAATTTGGTTTCATTTCCATTCCTAAGAGTGGTCATGTTGTAAAGGAGCAAAAATATTGTGGATGGAATCAGGTCTGAGCAAACATGCTTCTAATTGTGCTTGGGTGGGCTTTCACCCTTATCTAATGTAGAAAAATGAATCTCTGGAATGAAAAAGGGAGATTTGTAAAAGAGATTTGTCAAAGATTAGTCAAGAACAGGAAGCTGGCAGAGCAACAGCAACTTTTTCGGACCTGATAGCAGTTGATCACTTGTAGTTTGAGACTTCACTGTCCTTTACTGCAGATTTGTGACAGTGCCACACGATTTGATACTGGGAGATGTTAAAAGAAGCACTGGAAGGCTCCTCAGTTTTGACAGCAGGAATTCCAGAGAACTTCGAATAATTAATATTCTTAATATATTAATAACTTAATATAGTATATTAATAACTTAAATGAAGGAATAACTTCTTATGATGCATTATACTGGCTACATTCCTTTCCTACTTTCTGAAAAATAGTTGTGTTCTGTTTGTTTCATACTTGCAAGCAGGGGTTTATCTGGTTTCTACAGGTGAACTTTATTTTCATTAGTGACGAGGGTGATGAATCTTGCAGCTGAGTATGGGAAGTCATGTAAGAGTGTGTGACTACAATAAGAGTTGAGTCAACAAGAAGATGGAGATTTCTGTTTTTCTAAATTCTATAGCTGCTAAAGAACACTTTGCCCTTCTTTACCTAATCATTTAGAAATAGAGAGCAATAAATAGTCCAAATATTGCTCTAACCATCAGGAAAGCCAACCCCATGGGTTTTGCTGAATGTTACAAATCAAAGCTTTTGCAGAGACATTTCATTCTTCTTAAAGCACATGGAGTACAGGCTGGGATTTGACTGGAGCAGCCTCTGCTGTGAATACATTTACAAAAGTTTGCTGTGCCCAAGCAGGGGCACGAACACCACCTGCAGGTCCTGGTTCTTCTGTCAAGGAAACTGAAAATTCCCTCAGCACCCCAGGACAGACACAGGAGGCAATACACATCACCGTCTCTGGTGACAGAGCCTACCTGCTCCACCTTTACAGGTTTGACAATGCTGAAGTGAGCTGCTCTAGGAAAACTACAGGCTGCTAAATCCCTAGGCTACAGCTGCTTCCAGGCAGCCATTGCCCAGGGGCTGCTGAGTTGGACTGAGATATCAGAGGTCTTGTATGTGAGCCTGGCCTCAGCTCCTTCAGATTTGTGCCTTGGGAAACGTTACTAATACTTGCTCTGAGGCAACGCTTCAGCTCTGATCTGTTGCCTTTGCTTCTCCAGGTTTGCAACAGTGGTCACTGTTATGCCCCATATACAAAGAAGTATAATAAAAGACTGCAATCCATATGAGAAAGGAGAAGAAATAGAGCATATAGGCAGTTTGATTCCCCACAAGACCTTGGTCTGACAAAGTTTCTTCTTCATACTTCTTAAAATTGACCCAACATCCTTGTTTTTCCTCATTCTCCTTTGCTTCTTTCCAGATTGGCTTGGCTCTAAAGACTGAAAATCAGGGGCAATAAAAGTAGGAGGGAGATATATAGGGAAAGGAAGAAAACTACCTTGTCCTATAATGGATCAGAGTATTTCACTGGCTTTTTATTTTTATTGGTTTGTTGGTTTTTTTTTTTGTTGTTGTTGTTGTTGTTTTTTAATTTGGTAATAGCAACCTCTGGTGGTTCATAGGAACTTTCACAGTTCATAGTGAATATGTTTGCTATAGAAGTGCTTGCGTCAGAAACACCACTATCTATTCCCAGATGAAAATTGTACTTTATTGTGAGCCAGCTTTCCAAGATTGGGAAATGATCCCACTCTTCTCTTACACCCAAATTTACTGTAAATTACTCTCCTCTTCCCCAAACAACACCTAGTATTTCCTTTTTTGTGTTGGTGATATGCTTCAGATCATGTCTTATTCAGGATACAGAAAAAGCAAGGGACTGCAATTGAAAGTGATCTCACATCTGGCCTCTGCTTTGAAGGCTCTGCCAACCAGCTAGTGAAGGCAGGTGCAGGAATTATTGTTATTCCAGTTTTACAGATAAGAGAAGCAGGCACGGAGAGATTGGTTCCCAATCTGAGTAGCATATACAAGGAATGCAGATGAGAAAGGTGGCAATCCGTACTTAAAAAAGTATGGAGAAGATAAAATGTATGCAACAGATGCCTCTGTTCTGGTTTTGTTATCAAAGTTTACAGCTCAGAAATGAGAAACCTGATTACAACAAGAAGGGTATAAGCAGAAACATCCTAAACATTTCCTGCTGTATTCAGCCTTTTTAAATATTAGATGCACATGCTTCAGGCCTTGTGTGTCTGCTGTAATATTATGTTTAAAAATGGAAAAGAAAGAAAGATTAAAAAAAAAAAAGGAGCTTATTTGCAGTTCTTTCAGCGAGACTGCAGTGCGTGAGCTCTCCCTAGTGGGATCACAGATGCCTGCACTGAAAGAGTTGGGACTGGTTGCACTGATTCCCCTTCAACTTTTCCCCGCTACCCACATCTACTGGCCAAGTATTCACAAGAGTTCTGTTCTACAAATGAATTTAGTTGCAACGAGGATCAAAGATTCAATGAAGAATCTTAATTCTGAGAGATGCACAAATCTTATTTCATGTGACCCTCCTGATGAATTTAGAATCCTTGAAAAGATTTTTTTCCCCTGCCTGCAAGAAAGATGAAATGATGAAAGCAGCTTCAAATGAGAGAATTTCAGTTTCTCAGTGTTATTCAGTTTTAAAGATAATTTTTTGTTTTACATCATTGCTTGCTAAGCAGAGTTCTCCCTTCTGCCCCAGAATACTCATGTACAGTAAATGATAGTACTAATAATATGCAGATCTCTTTCTCAGCACTCTAATCCTGGATTTTAAAAAGTCAATGATCAGAACAGACTGTGATTTTGATGAGGGGTTTGTCACATAAAATTTTAAAGTACAGAAGCATCAGCTAATCCCTGTTAAAAATCTTGCCAGTTTTCAGATAGAATTGTGATTTCCTCATGCATGCATTTTTGAGGCGGGGGAGGGGGAAACAGTGAACTGCCAAATGAAAATAGGCAAGTGAAAATTGCTATTACCAAATTTAAATTAGAAATAAGAAATACATATTAAACATTTCAGATTAGTTCACTGACTGAGCTAATTCTGAAAAGAACATGTCCACCATCTCCTAATGTTGTTCATGCAAGGTGGGTTGCTGTTCAAGAGATAGGCCTTAGCCCACGGTCTGTGTAGTTGGACAGTGCAATAGTAACTGCACAGAATTTTCTGGCCTTTGGTCTAACCAGATGAGTTAATGGTCTCTCTGGCTTTAAAACTATGAATACACATTGCAAAAGTTCAAAGAATTGATTGAGAGTTATTTGTGACACAGATGTGCTGAAATTTTGCCCCAGTCACCTTCTCAAAATGAAAAAGATGTTGATTTTAGTAACGGTTTCTGAGCAACCTTTCGTTCATGTTCATCATAATTAGGTTAAGCTGTTTTTGGGTTGTTGTTTTTTGTTTTTTTTTTTTGAGATAAAGTCTGGACTGTCTGAGGTTACATTTTTGAAACTCTGAAGACAGCTGACTTCTACAGAATTCTGTGATTAACTACAGAAGGCACATGATTTCTATAGACTAGTGTAATCACGTCTTGCCCTCAGTAGTTTAAGGTAACAAACACATGCTAGGTGTATCTATCTGTTCCTTAAGTAACTATCCCTTTACATTAAAGTAATTCTGCTATTTCATAAAGTTCATTGAAGAAAAAATTCTGAGATCAACGCACACACACAAGTTGCAAATAATTTTGGCTTTTATCTTTTCAAATATGTCTTTTTAGAATGTCAAAGTCTAAAACAATCCAGTGAAAACAGGGATCCCATCAAGGTCTTTATGTAAAGGAAAATAAAAGTGCTTTGGAGGAAAGTCATTCGGAGTGATGGTTTTACATTAAATTCTTCTGAAGTGTCACTGTGGAATAGGGAGGCATCTGTACAAAGTTTTTTTGAAAATGAAAGAATACATACCACATACATCCAGTGCCTAAGATGACTTTGCATTCATCTCAGCACCTTATCAAATGTTATCTTTGTAGGTGTCCTATCTGTGGATGATTTAGAAAAAAGAGGCTTAACTTCATATCCTATAGGAACAGTCACTTCTTAGCCTTAATAAATATTGAAAGAATTTCTCTTTCACATCTCTGTAGTGGTCTGGCTTAAGTATTCCACTTACATAATGCAGCACAGAGTGTAATAATGAGAAACTGTATTCTGAAATCCTTCAGGGGCTGTGTGAGTTTCAGTGTGCATCTCTGGGACCAGGGTGGGAACATATCAAAATATCAACCTCAAGCCAAAATGTTGTACCATAGCATTTCTTGGAGAAAAAGTTTGGCAGAAATTGAGAACAAAGAGGAAAAATGCACAGCAGTGACAGCATTCATTTTCACTATATAATTCATATTAATATTCTTGTTCTAAAACTTCTCTTTGACAGCCTATGCCTTCTGACAGACTAGGTAATACTATACCATAAGAACACATGGAGCAGACAGAGCAACATGAGCAGGCTTCTCTGTTTCCAACCCTGAATTGTTGTTAGCTAAAATCGTCACTCAACCCTCACATGCTCTTCTATAACCTCATGTTCAATCCTTCTTCCACAGATAAGACTGATGGTTAACACCTGCAAGAGATCAGATTTTTTCATGTTTTTCCAGAGGTCTGAAAGCTGAAGAGTGGAGGGAAAGCAATAAAACACATTTAGCTGGCATCATATTTTTTATATTTATGCTGCATATGACAATGGAGACTGTAAATAGGGCATTAAAAGCATTACTATTGAAAATGTGAGAGTATATCAGTATATCAACACAGAAGTGGAAGACTCTTCTTTGAGAAAGAACCAACTCATATCTTCACTTTGAAGGGAATTATAGCTCAACCAGTATCTTTATTGTTTGATTCTGTTTCAACAGTTGTATGGACAAGGGCCTAATGGTGGTGGTGACTGCTGGCAGCCCCTCTCACTGCCAGCTGCATGCTGGCAGAAAGGCTACAGCAGTTTGCACACACTGCTATTACCTACCTGCTCTTGCTCCCAGTTGATTTCTGCAATCCTACTCCAGGAAAGCTCTGTCTTTGAATCCACAGTCAAGATTTGACCTAAAGGACATTGAAGTTAATATAAGCCTTCCTTTGACATCATAAATAGTGTTTTTTAATGAGCCAGACAGTAGCTAATCCAGGTCATGATTTTCCTTCACAGGGAAAACCGCCCAGTCTAGGGTCATACTTCAAGACTTAATTAGGTTTGTCCCAGCTATCTGTGACTGCTTGGCTTTCACACAAATATGCACCTTGCATTCAAAATACCAGACTAATCTTGTGTTGTTACAGCTCTACTTCCAAACGGATTAACTATTGTTGTTCTCTGTAATATAGAAGGAAGAGCTTTTCCCCTTCTTCAGTTCACATGCATACCGTATCATCACTTTCCTGAAAGACACAGAATTTGTTACATATTTCATCTGTATCTGCACCTGCTTTGCATAGTCACCCTCTCAGGAGAACAACCACACTGGTTCTGAAGTGGAAGATGAGACCTCAGGGTACTTTTTCATTGCCATACATAACTTCTTCCATGATCAGTGCAACATTCATTGACTGTCATCTGTGATTACATGCTGGAGACAAAGGGCACTAGGTCCACCTCTGCCAGGCCAGCACCTACCAAACACTACAGGAGCCATCCCACCAAACTCTGTAGAAAAAGGACATCGTGCTGGGAAAAACATTTAGAACCACTCAACTAAGAAATGTAAATTGTTGTCTATATTCTCATTCAGTGCTTTCTCATCAGGCAAGGAGACACAACTGATTACAATACCTTACACTACCTTGTGTTCAGTGCATACAATAACTGTGTTTGTACCTCTGCTCCTACAATTACCTCTTTCATCTCCTCCTTAACATAGAAATCAAAGAGTGGAGTAAAACACCGTCCCCTCCATGCTCTTATACTGATGCCATTGAAGTATATCCGTGCAGAGAGTTTGAATGTGTGCAGTGGTGACAGAACGACTGTATTAGAACAAAGTAGAAAATAATCTATACCTTGGGTTGATGGGCTCCTGGTCTGGGAAGAAGGAATCGCCTGCATATTTGAAGAAACAGTAGCATATGTGAAAGTAATTTTTCAGCTGAAGAATTTTGGCAGGAAGTAGGAAATCATTTCTGATGTATCACATAGTGGAAAAGAACAGTTCAGATCCTGGACCAGGACCATCCAGTCCAGAGGAAGGGGTGAGACAACCATTCCTGCCTATGTGTGCATGTACAGTCTGTATGTGCATCAATGCACGTATGTAAACAGACTTTCATTGGGAAGGATAGAAAAATGCCTGGCTTTTCATTGTGGTTTCTGCATGCGTTATCTTTCACAGGAGGTAAGAATGACAGGATATGCCTGTGTTGAAATGTAATTGCAAAAAAGAAAACTGCCTGAAAAAAGTGGAACTAGTTTTCATGATACATGAATAAAAGTGTCACTAAAGAATTCCATCCCAAGTGATAGAAAAAGAGGATATTATAAAATAGAAAGAGATCTTTGGTATGACTCTGCTTTCCTTCTTTTCAGTCCTTCCTTTTCTTTATTCATCACCTTAGGTTTGATTTTTCACCATATGTGTCCTTCCTAAACAAATAATAAGGGAAAGACAAGCATTCTCTTCTTTCTTCCTCCCTATTCATTAAATAATAACAATAATTAAAAATAAACAAAAAAAAAGAAAAAAAAAACTGATGTTCTGCTTTGATACCTTTCCAATTATTTACATGTAAAACTCAGGAAACTGTCAAAACTTCAGAAATACAAAGGTCTAATTAGCAATTGTATCAGAATATCTTTCCAGCAAGTGATTTATTTTCTTTATTGAGAAGAAGAAATAATATAAAGCAGGAGAAACCATTAATAGATAGGGGACGGTAGTGCTGGGAAGTCCCAGCCCTGCCGAAATTGGCAGGACCAGAATTACAGCCAGGTAATGGCTTCTTATTTTAGACCAGTATATTCTACTCCTCTACAAATCTTCTAAAAATAATAAAATATTTTGATTCGCTTTTCAGTGAGTGGGAGAGTAACACCTGTTACCAAGTGTCCCCAGCACATTATTTTTGGCAACTAATGTCTGATTCTGAACTGTTCAAATTGCCTCTGCTTCTGTTGTTTGCATTAGTTAATCTAAGATGCAAGAACAAAGAAGGGATGACAGAGAGTACTCGGTATGTTTCTAAAAGCATCTTCTGCTGCAATATCCTCTCCTGCATGCTGAGGTAGGTAGAGCTGAGGGCTTGAATCTCTGTATAACTTAGAGAGTTTTCTTTATACCAGTTTGGCTGCAAGAAGGAATATTCCTTTTCCTCCTGTCTAAACTTGACATACTGTACATATTGGTGACTACTTTTATTTACTGCAAGACCTGTTCATTCTGGTAGAGCACTTGTGTTAATACTACTTGTACACTTTGCTTGGGCTATAGCAGTAGAACTCTATCAAAGGAAAGAAAATACTTTAAAATCATTTGAGTTCCAGTGTGTCAGGACTCTGTGCACATGCATTACACCCCAAAGGTCTGCCTGCTTGATCTCAAGGTAGTGTGTACAGCCTTGAAAAGGGCTGTTGAGGAAAGCTGTGAGAAATCTCCACAAGAAATCTCCAAGAGACTGCTTCTTTGGAGCTCTTTGCCTGAGCTGTGTTGCAGCCATACATGTGCCTGATGATGCTGTGTACTGTATAGTTCCCAACCCAATGACTTGCCTTCGTGGACTGACCATGGACCTACCCAATCCTTACAGGCTTGTACTCTTTTTCTGTATACCTTCCATAAGCACATGACTGGCTCACAACTCTTCCTATTCACATGAGCAACCTCATACCTGGATTTGGTGGAACCCGACCCTTTTGTACCTTTGATTAGGGTGAATTCAGCAAACACACTTCACATCAAGGCACGCAACACTGTGAGCACAAGACTGCTCTCACATTTCTGTATTATATAACCCTTAATCTTATGTTAAAAGAACTGGAATGTTTATCTCCCGGAGTTAATTCCCTGCTGCTGGGAGAGGCTGGGAGTCTCTACCTATCCTGTCAGTGCTTGCTTTCTTCGTCTCCCCTGGAGCCTGGCTGATCTATTCCATGCTCCCTAGGTGGTCCCTCCTTCTCTCCTCTAGGACAGCAGCACATTTAGCCTCCCCATTCACAGTCAATTCAAGGCTATTTTCCAGTAAGGCAACTTTCCCTGAGGTTCACTGGAAACTCCTATTGCTATGTCAGCTGCACAGTAAATATCACGGTGTCTTTTGTCAGGGCAATATTTTTAAAAGAAACCAATATCTGCATTGCATCTGTGCAAGAAAAATTTACTCATTTTTTCTGCACCACAGTTTGCACGATCTTCATTTGCCACATCCAGGGCTGAGTCCAAAACCATTAGAACTATTGCTTAGTGCAGCTTCTTGAACAGGCCTGCACTGAAAGCAAGATGTGGGAAAAAAAAATTAAAAAAAAAAAATCAGAGAATCACAGAATGGCCTGGGTTGAAAAGGAGCACAATCATCATCTAGTTTCAACCCCCCTGCTATGTGCAGGGTCACCAACCACCAGAGCAGGCTGCCCAGAGCCACATCCAGCCTGGCCTTGAATGCCTCTAAGGATGGGGCATCCACAACCTCCTCGGGCAACCTGTTCCAGTGTGTCACCACCCTCTGTGGAAAAAAACTCCTCCTAACATCTAACCTAACCTCCCCATTTGTCTGCAGATGTTAAAAGGCTGATTGGCCTCCTCCCACAGGAGGCCACACTTGTGACTGCCATGTGTCTGGGGGGCCACCATGGCAGCTGCTGCTCATGTTGTAATGGATACGTGTGGGAATACAAGAAAGCTGTTCAGAGCAGCAGCTGTGGAGCAAGATAAACAGCATGAGAACCAAGGACACCTCTAGAAGAAGAAAGGACGTCTCACAGCTCTGATTGGATGAACGGTTAAAAGTCTTTGGTAGAATGCTCTGTTGACATGTAAAGGTGGATGGGAAAGTTGTAGGGGTGGATGCAAAAGCTAGAAAACTTGTGAAGGTATGTAAGTGATGTGAGAACTTGTAATAAACGATTTGGATCATTCACATCTGAGTCTGTGTATCAGACACTGCAGATATGTGCAGGAGCAGACTGGCAGCAGTCTGTCCCTGGAACAGCTGGACAGAGTAGAGGCAATGCAGAAGAACTGCTTTCCACACCTACTAGATTTAAAATTAATGATAATAAATGTAATATTCAAGGAGTCATCTGTTCTGCCCATTCCATCCCATCTGGCCCATTTTTGGGGGACTTTGTTTTTAATTGTTTGGGTTGGTTTTTTGGTTGGTTTTTTTTTTTTTCCTCTACTTCTTAAAATACCAAAGCAATTGTGAACTTCAGGCAGAATGACAATTTTGTCTTAACAAATTAGAAACTAGTAAGATAATGTGGGGGTAGTTACCTTTAAATCATTCTTTCTCAGATAGTCCAGTCCCCAGCAAGGGAAAGAAGGGAGAGCTGCACAGCTGTCATAGAGAAACAGATTGAGAAAAGGTATTCTTCTCAGCTACAGTGCTGCAATGTAGGTTATACTTGGCTCTGCTGATTTGTGGTGTTCACTTGCCCTGTTGGGAGAACAAATGTCAATTTGAATCATATGCTTGTCAAAGGGGTGATGTCTAGTCTAGCTTCTCAAAGAAAGTACACAAGTTAAGAAAAACAGCAGCAATGAGCTCTAAATCTTTCAGACTCAGCTGTTGAAGATGCTAGTCAGCTCCTGTGAATCAGTAGTAGATCAGTTCTGTAGGACATGATGGTCTTTGCTGGCTAAATGAATGAACCATCCTGTTAAAAGAGATCACACATCCTCTGTAAAAAGGGATAAATGGTCAAGGCAACAGCATCTGCTGGTATATTAAATCCCATTTAAGCACATTAAGTACCTCTCTACTTGTCATTGCCATCTAAGTGCTCTCTAGCTGTATTTTCATTTCAATTCTGTGAAATCAGGATGAACTATCAGTCTGATTTTATAAATCAGATGAAGTGGCAGTATGTATCTTGATTGTTCTTCTGCACAGGTATCCTCAGCACAGCAAGTTACACTTTGGTTTCTAGAGATAAATGGGTCTAATATATCCAGCTTGCTAACTCCAATTGGCTCTTCTTGTTTTTCATTCAGCTAAATATATTTTTTTTTAATAGGGAAATGACTTTAAGTCTTTGGAAAAAAAAGATATTTTTTTCAAAGTTTTTGTATTCCTCTGTCCCAGAAGATTCTTGGACCAATGTTCATCTCACTGCAATTAAATAGAAGTTAAAGACATTGATCGCCCAAGGATTATAATTACATCATCTATCGTATTTTCATTTTAACATTCCTGGTGTCTGTCCTGCAGTGGCCGAATCTCTGTCTGCCTTGATTGGCAAGTCACTGAGTTGCTCTGTTTAACTAAAGAAAAAAAGAAAAAAAAGGAAAGAGCTATTAACAATGATTGAAATTTTGACTGCAGTTTGTGTCACCAAGGTGTCTACTTCCATACAAGAAAGTCTTTACAAGTTTGCATTGCCACAGACTTTCACCAGTTAGAAGCCAGCTGCTCCCATGGCTGATACAGACTGTGATGAGGAGGTGACTTGCCTTGCCTTCTCCAAACACTGAACTGTATTCAGTAGTCCTTGTTTTCAATTGCATCTTGTCTCCTGCATTAGCTCATTTTTGCCTGCCAGTGCAGTGATAGTATACTCTCTCCTCATATTGTATGTTTTTTTTCTTTCTAGAACAATTACAAAGGTGAACAAGGTTTGGTTTAGAGGAGGCATTTTACCCTTTACTAACACTAGATCCCATTACTCTGTCATGTCACAGTGGCTCTGAAAATCAGGACAATCAATATTAAAAACGTACACTTTTTAGATTAAGCAGCTTGTGAAGTAACTTGCATATCTCATGCTCGTACAGCACTTCAGAAACAGAAATCTAGATTTTAATAGACTCAAAGGGGAAAAAGTGATGGGCTTTTACAAATGAGTTAAGAATATCTTATGAAATCTGCACAATCATCAAAGGAAAATTGAGCAATTTAAACTGTTCTTTCTATATTTGCTGTCAATCTATGTACAGAAATTGTTCTTCCTGTAGTGGGCACAATCTAACTAGGAGCAGTTCTTTCCACAAAGAAACATCTATCTGTAGAGAGTATTTCTACAGTACTGTATGGACCGCTAAGACCATGATAATTTTTCTTTCTGAGTGGAGGAAAGCTTGCTTTGCAGATCATTTCACTAAATCACACTCTAACTCCAAGGTGGCTTTGTTAATGTTTTTGAAGACAGACTTTCTATTTGGTTTGCGCTTCTCCCTGAGCCAGGAAAATGAAGAGGGAAAGAATTCCAGCTGTTTGGAACTGGACCTGAATTACACATTATAAGCAACTCACTAAGCCCACGTGCAACTCCAGCCGTTGTTAAAGTCACTAACCAGAACATACATTTGTGTTGTTTGCACTGCAAATAGAGTCAAATTGAATACTATTTGTGATATTCATCTACATAATTACATACGTATTTATGTATTATTTAAACGAACAAGTCCCTAGAATGAAGGTATCTCATATTTCTAATGTAAAAGCTGTAACAATTTCAGTTACAGCAGAAAATATGAAAGGTTTTGATTTTCTTTGTTTGAAAGATATTCATTTTTTAATACCCTCTGATGATCACAGAATCACAGAATGGCCAGGGTTGGAAGGGACCTCAAGGATCATGAATCTCTAACCCCCTTTCCACATGCAGGACCACCAACCTCTCCATTTAATACTACACCAGGCTGCTCAGGGCCCCATCCAACCTGGCCTTGAACACCTCTAGGGACAGGGCATCCACAACCTCTCTGGGCAGCTGTTCCAGCACCTCACCACTCTCTCTGTAGAGAACTTCCCCCTGACATCCAACCTAAATCTCCTCTCCCACAACTTAAAACCATTTCCCCTTGTCCTGCTGTTATCTACCCTTTCTAAGAGTTGATTCCCCTCCTGTCTGTAGGCTCCCTTTAGGTATTGAAAGGCTGCAATGAGGTCACCCCGCAGCCTTCTTTTCTCCAGGCTGAACAAGCCCAGCTCCCTCAGTCTGTCTTCATAGCGGAGGTGCTCCAGTTCTCTGATCATCTTTGTGGCCCTCCTCTGGACCCTCTCCAACAGCTCTCTGTCTTTCTTGTACTGAGGGCTCCACACTTGGACACAGTACTCCAGATGGGGCTCACAGGAGCAGAGCAGAGGGGGATAATCACCTCCCTGTCCCTGCTGGCCACCCGTCTTCTGATGGAGCCCAGGATACCATTTGCTTTCTGAGCCGCAAGAGCACACTGCCGGCTCATGTTAAGTTTTTCATCCATCAATACCCCCGGCCTTTCTCCACGGGGCTGCTCTCAAGGACTGCTCCCAGGGACTGCTCCTTCCAGTCTGTATGGATGCCTGGGATTCTTCCGGCCCAAGTGCAAAACTTTGCATTTTGCTGTGTTGAACCTCATCAGGTTTGCCCAGCTTTCTAGCCTTCAAGGTTCCTCTGAATGGCATCCCTTCCTTCAGCCATGTTGACCACACCAACTCAGGTTGGTGTCGTCAGCAAACTTGCTGAGGGTTCACTTGATTCCATTTTCATTAACACATGTAGCTTCTTGAAGATGATTTTCTAAACTTTTGCTGATTCCTGTTCGTCTACATTTTGTGGAAGTTTTATCTGCAGATTCCTCTTCACTCAGTGCAGCCCAGGCAAGGCAAAGATTGGACACCCACAGTCTAGAGCATTACCAGCTTGAGTTCCTGTGGTTGACAAGAGGGTCAGCTCTTCCCCTCACTGATGACAATATGCTCCCGTCCTCAATCTCACATCAGCACTGGGGAGTCCATGGTTACGCATTGCTACATTATTATCATGTTTAGATAGCATTTTTTTTCTTCATATGCCCCCTCCTTAACATATTGATCCACATCTCAGCAGCACTGAGATGTAAAAGGAAGCGCTAAGCTGAAAAAAAAAAAAAACATGCTGTTTTAGCTGGGGTTACTGCTGTGCAGCCTTATTAAACATTATTCTGGTAAAGAGGTTAGTGGATCTCAGCACGCTACAGATGGAGCAGCTGGAGGAAGAAACACTTTCATCTGCTTTCATTGTCAGAGAAAACAAAGAGCAGCCCTCCTCTTGTTGACTTACTTCGTTTCCACTGTTTCAATGACAAAGCCAAAAGAAAGGCAGTCTTAACCAGCATTCCTCAAAGAGTCATGCAGTATTCTCTTAGTTTGACCTACAGTGTCTATACCACGACAGTTGAACAACTCAGCAAAGGAAATGGCTTGTAAGAACAGTTAGGTTTTTAAAGGAATTTTCCAAGATTGCCCAGTGGTTGTCTCTGACCTGCTTCTAACAACAAAGTGGCATTCACTTTCAGACATGCAAAATTTATGCTGTGAAACCTTTCAAGCTCAGTATTCCATGAGATGTGCCAGCAAAGGCATTCAATTAGGTATTTTTGTAATGTGAATGAATTCATTGTTGAAAATTTCCTGTAACACTTTAATCTTTCTAAGAGAAAACCTGATAGTCACACATGCAATAGATTGAGATCTTTAATTTCTTGGATAAACTACATTAATCTGAATTTTATTTATAAGCTACAGAACAGGGATGATTCGTTCTTTTTCTTTTGCTTCTATCCCAAGACATAAGTCCTCTAAACTCCAGCAACTAGTGTAATAGCAGAAGGCTCAATTCAGTAAGTATGTACAGCTTAAACTCCTAACAAAACAAAATTTAAAATCCATTGTCTGGCTTCCATATTTTTTTTGCTTATGCAGATTAACAGTATGGGGCAAGATTAGGGGTAGCAATATGGAGTAGCTTCCTAGCAGCTGCAATGCCCCGTGAAACACCTCCAGGCCACCAGCCTTCAGGTAATCCTTGATCCTCCATCATCAAAGCCTACTTCTGGTGTAGGTTTTTCACCTTTCCTGCCAGGACAGCAGATCATAGTGCAGGTCTAGTTCTGATAAGATTGTCAGGTGAGACAGCTAAGCTGACCTGACAGCTGGCTCTGGAGGTAGGCAAAAGCCTATGGAGTGCCATGTGTCTCCTTAAGCCCTTCATCACTTCTTTTGGTCTCTTAGTGACCCATATCAGGTCGTGAGCATGGCCAGCATCTCAGTCCCTTTTGGAGGAAGTAGGCTTTCTGCTGGAACCAAACCTTTCCATCCCCAAGGGCCAAGTGTGAGAGCCCATGAAGAGGATGTCACAGCAGTGTGCATCTGCTACACCTCAAAAATCTGAGTGCTAACACACGAGAGTCCACTTGGCAATGAGTTTTGCTTTAACATATGACATAAAAGTAATGATAACTGCATGTCCAGTCTCACGAACTGGTCTGTCTTTTATTTAGATAATCATTGGCAAGTTTTTTGGTTAGGCAGCTCATGTGAACTAGTCTCACATTTTCTTCTTTTAATAAGATCTCATTTTAAAAAATGAGAAAATTTTAAAAGATCTCATTTTTCAGTGAGGGAAGAAAACAAGAGCAATCAGATACGAAGTTATGGCCATGGCTGTTCCCTACCTGTTATAGTTGAGATGCATC